TATGTCTGTCTGTCTTTCTGTCTGTATGCAGGATAACTTGAAAAGTTATGGACAGATTTTATATAAATTTTTTACCAGAGGTGTCCCTGATTTCCCCAGATTTATATAAAAAAGAAGTATTAATGTATTTATTTATTTTTTGCAATGTTCATTCATTTTAACTTAAATTTAAAAAAAATTCTGACAAAAGGCTGTTAACCACTTTATGTGGGCTTCAGTTCTTTAAATGGAGTTTAAACACAGTTGAACTGTTATTATTTGTTCACACTGAATGCAGATGGCATGAACTAGGTGAGTGTTTACATGTGAGAAGCACCTTTAGGAGCGAAGGGATACAAGGGACGCATTTCTAGGAATGTGAACAGCAGGATTATGGAGAACAGAGCCAAGCGAGAGGGAAGTTTTAAAGTTTGGATCGTTGAATGCTCAAACTACTTTAGCCTTGTATATGACTGAACCGGTTGAGTAAATTATTTCCCCAGCCTTAAAAACTCTGTGGTGTCTCTCAGGGAGTTCCACTGCTGCAGTTCAACATTTTAGAGCTCAAGGCAAACTGGAAAAGTGCATCAGAGATAACACCTGTCTCCAGACAACATTCATTTTTAATCATCTTATATCAACAAACTTAAAAATTGTTGTAACTCTCCAACATAGTCAGCATGGTTCCCTCAGGTCCCAAAAAATCCTTGAAAGTTTTTTTAACTTTAAAAAATAAGTATAAGCACTCAGGACAGCTGTTCTCATCCAGAATAACTTGATCATGTTTATTGTTTACATGATACTGATCGGATTATTAATCTGTATGAGGCACTCCTGTCTGTTGGATTATAATTTCATTCCAATTTTAAAGCATCCAATAAGATTAGTCCAATAAGACATTTTAAGTCCGATGAGCCGTTCTCTGTAAAGTACCTACAGATTATACTTTTGCTGAATTTGAAATCAGGGGCTGCATCCTCCGAAGGCCAGAATCGTCTACGTAGCGTGGCGCCAAGGTCTGTTTGGATTATGCGGCCGACACATGCATCCTTCTTTTTACCCGTTTTGAAGGAAAGGTCTGTTGTATTCTACGTAGCCTTCGATATCCCGTGATTTATTGCGAAACCAAGCAAGCCAGCTTCTCCAAGCTCAGAGGCAAAAGGTAAATGGCGCCAAACAGTGGTGATTATTGGAAGTGCAGTTTAATATAATACAAGTATGTGAATAGTTCCGTCTGATATAAATGAAAGTAGTCTTTTAAAATGGTTATTGAGTCAGATATGTGGCGGGTAATGTTTGGTTTATTGAAAGGTTTTAATCTGTCTCTGTGTAAAGGAGTCTGGCTGACATTTAAGGACAGATTCTAATATATCTGATATTTTTGGGGACTAGAAATCTTATACAGTGATGCTTTTGAAGCTGAAATGTTAAATAAATAAATAAAAAGAAACAGCAGTGAGTCCGATATTTATTCTTTTCCTGCATTGTGTGTCGGCTCTCACAGTTGCTAAGTGACAGAGCGTACGTGCAGTGAAAGCCTTGGAAGGCTGGACCTGTTTGAATCCACAGCCAAAACTCTTCAGTCTGCATATTCTCACAGACCTTGAAGGATCCAGTCCAGATAGAACGGGTCTTTGGAGGATGCAGCCTTTAAAATCGAACACATCCTTTGACTGGTAACTGGAGATAAATGCTTCTGCATGTGGTCCTTGAATTCAAGGAAACTGGTTCTGGAAAACCCCTGAAGGTGCTTGGATTCAATGTTAACCAAACTGCTGGAACCTTGACCGAGCCCCAATCCAGATCAAGCTGGGTTTTAGTGGATACCACAAGCTTCTTGCATTGTTAGAGGTCTCATCACGATAATATGCCAAGCTGCCAGACTGGATCAGTTTGTAGCTGCCACCATGCCCTTCTTCTACCTTCTTTACCTGTGTGGCTTAAAGATGAAGGGAAAAAATCCTGTCTTAAAATCTGTCAGTTTATTTGAGATATCTTATGCAGGCCATTTACTGATCCGTCAGCTTGAACACCTAAATTCGCCCAATCATATATCAACGGTCATCTGTCAATCAAATGTTGTCGGTCATAGCATCTTGATTCATATGTCGCAGCTAATATACGCAACGGATTAAATAAGAATAATTTACTTTCCCATTGAGTTCCGTCCCAGTGTTCACGGGGATGGACGTCTGTGTCTTCAGCAGGCGTAGAGCTAACAGAACTGGCAGCGTTGCGAGGCAAGGGCTCAAACATGTACGGCTGCTTCCTCCCACAGTGCAAAAACATGACTTTTAGGTTAATTGGCTTCCATGAATAATCCTTAGGTGT